GGGCGGCAGTGCTGAGGCTCCTCCCCTCTGAGCTGCCTGAAACGTTGCCTCATGCCCAGCAAACCCAGGGCACCGGACTCTCCCTCTGATGAGCTCCTGTCCGGCCCCGCTGTGAGTCTCTCTGCCCAAGACGCGGGGGTCCGGCTGGTGAGCTAGCTCGTGACCTTCACAGCTGACGGCGCGCGCATCACGGGAGGTGAGTCAGCCAGCACGAGCCGGGGGCCGGGGGCCGGTCAACACGCAAATAAAGACTAACCGTCGTCTCTGAAGACAGGGACGCGAGAGCTGTCTTCGTCACGGGCTGCCTGGTGAAAAACGACCCACGCAGATTCCCGCTCCACGTTCTTTCTGACCTTCTCGCCTTCAATGACGTGCCTGCGCAGCCTTTTACCGGGTCATTCCCGTGCTGGCCGTGCAAGTCTTCAAAAAATAAGCCCATCCGGACTGGTTTGCGCCTTAATAAGAGGAATTCTAGCGCTCCCCTCAGAAAGGCCCCGGCAAACTTTCACATCCGTAAAATAGATATTTCAGACATGCAGACATAAGGAAAGCGGTTTGGAAACGGCACGGGGAGATTTGCAAAATCGCGAAAACGTGTCAGATTCAGTGAACAACTGTGATGCGAATAACAGGCCACCGCAACACAAGAAAACAAATTCATACCTGAAAACTGGAAATCGGCAAAACAAAAATCCCGTTTAAACCAGGAAAAGTGCTAAAAATAGAAAACGGGACTAAAGAACAGAGCAGATGACCTTTTAACCGGTTTACCGCGCTCCCAGTCCTGAGCGCCGGGAAGCAGTTAGTGCCGTGAGAGCAAGTTCTCTGGTGTTGTTAAATTCGTCCGAATACGTGCTCGATACGTGAAGTTAAAGAAGAGTGATGCTGCAGGCGGTGCTGTCTGGTGCCCCAGATCTCAGCGAGGTCAGGCGCCGCTCCGGTCCCGGATCTGCGTTAGTGCAGCCGCAGACGGGAGACTCGGCAGCGACGTCTCCGCTGTCGCCTGCTTGTGCACTGTAATAATAATAATAATAATAATAATAATAATAATAATTACCGGAGAAGCGGTCACCCTTATTTGTTCTGTCCTCTTCTTTTAATTTTGATGCTCTTTTTTAGAAAAGAGTAAAAGATTCTCGAGACAGAAGAACGGACAGACAGCGGTGATGTGGGCAGGTCACGCAGCGGAGGGGTGAGAGACACGGGGTTTTGGTTGGGTTGCTTTTCCGGAGTTCTTCGGCGGCCCCTTTGGCGGCGGGGACTTTTTTTGGGTTCGGCCGTTGGACCAACTTGGGGGCCCTTCGGCCCCCCCAGCTGCTGAGATTGAACGGCCCCCTGATCATCCGCATCAACCCGACGCCTCCCTCCCACTGCAAGGAGACTTGACTGAACTATTTAACAAGGTCCTGAAAGGTGTCGGGAAATTGACCCAGACGCGAAGAGGGAATGTGAAGACAGTGGAAAATGGAAAGTCAAGGGGTGTTAACTTAAATTTCCCTCCTGGGGGAAGAATAAAGTATTCTGAATTTGGATTTAGAACTGAAACATGAGCTACTTCTTTACACAAAGGCTGGCAGGTGTCTGAAACAAGCTACCAGGCCATTCTGGCGAATCAGATGCTCTGGTATCCTGTAGTTAAAGGCTGGCTACCTACTGTGTAACTAAATCAGCTAAACTGGCCACATGGCCTCTTATTTATTTCTAACTCTTCTTCTGTTCTTTGGAGTGTGTCCAGTGCAAGACACGGCGCCTCTCAGCTTGTCCTCTCGCTGGCCCAGAGACGCAGGGATGGGAGGATCCGTTGATGCAGAAACAGGAATAAACAGGGAATAACTTGATTGTTACCTGATACATGTCTGCCATTAGGAAATCACCAGTCTGACTGGCTTGTGACCAGCTGAGCTCTTCCAGTACGTCCAGTCCTGGTCCCCAATGGACTGTGTGTGTCTGCAGGTTTTCACTGCAACTCAGGTCTTCATGAGCCACAGCCACTCGTTATTGGCTTAATTGGGCATATTTTCCCATCAACTCTGGCGCTGCTGCTTTAAAATGACCTAGAAGACCAGTGTCAAGGACCAGGAGTGAACGGCTCTGCTTTGCACTGCGCAAACCCCTACAGCCGGTCGTATGGCCCCCTCTAGTGGAGAACAGGGATATAGCTCCGCCCTCGCTGCCTTTGCTGTGGAATCGTCACGGCGCTGTCATTAACCCCAGTGGGTGCCACTTGGGCTATTCTAGGTTCAGACCTGCCAACGTGCATGGCCCGGCGCGGGCTGCGACCTCTCGCGGCTGGGCAGATGGAGCCCCTGTACCAGCACGCCAGCAGTGGAGACGTCAACGGCCGCGAAATAAAAGTCGAGCGAATTTGTGCTGTTTTTTTTTTACTTTTCACCTTTCAGCGAGGAAACGAATCTCTCCCCCTGTTCCTTCAAATTAGAAATATGCTTCGCACGTCAGCTTTCAGAAGAGGCCGCCAATCCGTTCTCAAAGCAAACGTTTTTATTATAACATCAAAAATACATACAATACAAACAAGAGTGCATTTAACATATCAATAACATCGTAGATACTATGATACTATATACAATACAATTACACTTTATGAAAAACAAATAAACAAGGTAAAAAAAGATAAGGTCCGCACAGCTTTCACGTTCTTACATTTCGATATAGTCTATCCACACGCCTTTACATCTATTTTGAACTGTTCAAAACATAGGAGACCATCTCACGTCGTGTATATAATCACGTGCGTG